CTTTTTACAAACCTCTTTACACAAATATGAAGAAAAGAGCTGAAGGAGTCATTCATAAACGATATTTTTAAAACAAAAAATATAGGCTCTGTGGATCGCAAGTTTTTGTGGCAACGCAAGGGCATGAATTCGCACGGCTAAATGAGGAGTAGTAGCGAGAAGTTCTGGGCGAGTAGTTCTGTATCGGAGCCCACTATCCACAACTGCATTTATAAATTATACAATACCGCATGTGGGTAACTCTTTGTACTTGAAAATATAAATTCCAATTATTATTAATGAGGACAACCGGAAGCACGATAAGAAGAATTTCAGGAATCAGACTGATATTTCTGTCACTGATGTTCCAAGTTCAGGTAAAATTCTAGCAAGGAATAATAAATTATATTTTCACCAGTGCACTCGGGATAAAGTTTCATAATATGACTCGGTCATGACTCGGCTTTGAGGAAACATCTATTACGATGTGAAGCCAATTAGCGAAAATATATTGTGAAAATTTTTGAATTCAGCGTGCAAAGCCCAAACGATGAGCATACAAAAAACACTGGTTTGTTAAATAGTTGAATTAGGTTCAAGTGGAGCGAAAATAAACAGAAGCTGACGATGTTGAGGCTTAAACCAAACGAGGTCTATTTCCAGAATACTCTGGCTTGAAAGTGGTTAATAAATGCAGTTATATTGCAAGGAAACTATAGTTGCCTTCAAGTTCTGTAATAAATTTTCTGAATAAATATTAAAGGTTCTGATACTAAGAAAAAGCGATCGTAAGAGGGATGAGGAATGATTAAGGAATAAGAACATGCCCTCGGTATGTGTGCAATTAATATGAACTTAACATCACTGGGACCCTGATAAACATCGCAACCTCATAAAATTACATGTAAATACCAGCAAAATAGAACCATTGGAAATACCTATGCCGAAAAATGGATATTTATGTAAAATAAACATACAACTGATTAGTTTAGAAGGGCTTTGGGCATTCTGTTTATCTTGTTTGATGGCAGCGGAAGACAAAAACTCATGTTTTAAAATGTGTTCAGTCTTCTGTGTCTTTCAGTGCGTGTCTTTGTGTTCAGTGTGTGTCTTTCCTTCAAATGATTAAAATTGGACTTTCTTCAGCTTTTACTTTTCCACTTTATTTCGTCATTTTCTTGGGAAGCTTGGTCATAAATTTTACTTTTCAAATATTTATTGCGAATATTTTCATTAAAAATACTGCATATCTATGGTCTTTTCATTTCATATAAATTATCTTACGGCTCGTTATATAATTGATTAAGTGACCTTACAAATTTTTATCAGAATGAGAAAGTTTCTTTCCTTGTAGCATCGTTGTTATTCCTTAATGGAGTTCTAAAAGTTACTCTTGTAACGATCATCGCTGACTCGCAGCAAACAAACATCTAATGATCTATTATGATAGGAAAGCCTTCGTCTTTCCACGGCAAATCCAAATCGCTTTCGCTGAAAAAATGAATTCCATTTTCTTGAACAATAGAAACCAATTTGCAGCAGATTCTCGCTAACTCTCATCATCTTAGCGGAAAGTTACCGCAAAGTTGGTCCAAGAAAGAGGTTTGGAAACACAACTTCTCGATCAAGATCCTCATTAGACCTCCGTAACTGGAAGGCAACCTTGCCGAAAATTTTAGGATGTTTTCACGAGCAAATTGAAAAGTGCCCAGAAGTTTGTTCATCCGAAAGGGCTGTCATTTATGTAAAATTGTCAATTCTTAATAACACTTATATGATATTCTTTCGAAGATGGCGTTCTGGGATTCAAAGTTTATTCATAAATTTTTAAAACCAAGGCAAATACTCGCAAATATTTTTAGAAACTGTGACAGAATTAAGAATTTAATATGAATTCTGAAAGAAATGCGAATATTCACAATTTTTTACGAGACTTGGTTGTGTTGTCGGTGAGAATTTTCAAGTAGAATTTTTCATATCAAACATGTTTATTCTCCTAAAAATTCATTCATTACCTTGTAAAGTACTGGAGTAAAACATCAGCAGTCGTCGGATGCATGAGATGAGACGCAACTGAATTTAGTGCAACCAAGCGCGCGGCTTTCAAAACAATTAGAACAGCTCAGGCCGCGCTGCTGGAATGGGCTTAGAATGCAGCCTTCGTATCAGACAAAAAATGAAAGATATCGCTGCAGCTCGCACACTCGCCTGTTTTTCCCAGTCTTCGTGGGTCTTAAATTTGGAAGGAAAAATACGGCAAAAGAGAAGGCCGTGTGACAGCTGCAGCGCTCCAAAGCGGCAGATTTCGGAAGTGTTTTGCGCCGGGCAGGAAAAATTTCCAATCGAAAAAGAACGAAATATATTTTTTTCGTTCTGGGAAATGACCTGAAAGGTTATTTTCTTCTGAGACTTTTTGGACTCAAGATTGTTTCGAGCACAAGTAACCCTACTAAATAATGAACCGTACTTCTGTCAGAGTCTGCGTATTTTGGAAAAATCGTTTTCTGTTTCGAATGACGGTGCAACCTTGCGCGGTGGAGCTCAAGATTCATTTCTTCATGAATTAGTACTTGGTTTTATTGCAAAAATGTTCAAATTAGCGAGCAACAATATGAAAATCAGCATAAGCAAGTTCGTTTAGAAAAATTTCGAGACGTTAAGTGTATGTTTAGTTGATAATTTACTTTTTATTCCAATTTACTATTTACTTTTTTTATTCCATATACTACGCCAATTTAATTTTTTTATTTACCGCCTCAACTTCATTTCCTCACAGAGAGAAAATTCTTCGCAAAATGGAGCTTCAGGATTGCATAAACTTTACTTAGGTATAAACCCATAGAGTAATTGAGAATAGACTTCAATAAATTAGTCAAATTGCGGATAATTGAACTGAATTCGCAGTTAGTCCGTGACTTCAATTATGACAATCTAATTGTGCTCAAAAAATCCGACTACTCAATTTCACTAAAGTTATCAAAAGAATACAATCATGTAGCGACATAAATACGAAATTTAGTGAGGGCCGAGTGTGCATTGCTATTAGAATGTCAAAAAATTACGGGTTTCCAACTCGAAGGTAAATTATGAAACTTCAGCATCTTTGATAGTAGTCGTAAACGTTGTTCGCATGCCATCTTTAGTTAAATGAAACTTGGAAGTTTGCTGAAAATCCGTAGCAATCGAACGCAATCAGAACTTTTTTAAAATGCACCTATAAATTATGAATTATTAATTTCTTTACATGAATTATTATTCTCAATTTTACTCAATTAGTCATCTTGCAGGGACTTCCTTTATTTCTCTGTATGTGGATATAAAGACCGACAGGGCTATTTGTACCTATTATCATTAACTCTATCATCTACTATCATTACCACTATTATCATTACCACTATTATCATTAGTATAAAAACATTGCAAATGCGGCAATACATCAAAAGCAGAGGAGGCTGCAGACGGCGCAATATCAGGCGCCGAGTCGCACAAATATTATAGATTGCTGCAATATTTCATAAGCCTTGTGGCAATAATGCAGGAGCGCATTGCGCTTCCTAGTAACGGCCCGGTAATATCACCTTCTGTATCAAATAAATTGGGTGTCGTAGTGTGACAAATGATCTCTCATTTCTACACAATGTGCTACTTCTCTCGCCATTGTCCAGATTGGCCTGATTCTCGTCAGGTGTATATAGCCTCGGATTGGGAAAAGCAGGCAAGGGTATAAAGAACTTGATTCGAGATAATCATTGTTTGATCATCAATACATTTCATGTTCAGTTTATGGTGGCCGTAAAAATTAGTCGCTACAATTAAAGTTGCCCACTTTCAACAGCCTATCATTAAAGCAAGAATTTTGTAGAACATCCCTGTTAGTGACGAGGAACTCCGGGCGTAATCTGGACCTCGTGGACGGAACTGTTCAAAAAGCTTTGGCCGGTGGCGTTTTATTTCGCAACAAAAAATCGCCATCAGAATTTGAAGTGCCCCCGAAGGGTATTTTGTCACTATACAAGTGTCGAGATTTTCGAGAGCCAATTACGAGCCTCGTAATGACGTCACTATTCTTATAGACTTGCTAGGCACGAAGACTAGGCAAAGACTGCTAATGACTAGGTAAAAGAAACTGCTGCTAAATTTCTACTTCGGCGGCAGAGCTCAAGAGCGAAAAATTCGTGAAAATTACCCAACTCTATAGACCTAACGTGAGCGCAAAGATAAAAAAAAAAACTCCGTCCAACAAGTCAGCTGGTAACTTTCACCGAAGGACCGAGTCATTGGACACATCAGACGAAAACAAGGTTGTGACGACGGCAAAGCTGACAGAGCGCGAGAGTGAAATTTGTTTACGTATGGAGACCTAATCCCGTCTCGCGAATTCTTCAACATTTGGCCTAGCTTGCACAATGCCGAAAAGTTGCACACGATCATTGAACTTCGAAAAAAGCCCATAGATTGAAACCACTGAGGCTGAATTCAAGGAAGTTCATTCAGTTGTGCAACCAGAGAACAGCTCAAGTGAAACTATAAAAACGAATTAATAACAACTTAGACCTTGATTGAATTTCGATAGTAGTAACAAATAGGACACGCCGATCTAACCGATATGTGCCATGAAAGCTTTGGTGGTATAATACTGAGGAGCCATTATCGAAATTTGTGTCAGTGACGAAAATAATACTTATTTTCAACTAGGAAAAAATCTAAAAACTGGCAATTTCCCCCTATTTTGTAGCAGTGGATGACATATATGCTCCGCATGTATGAATGGCATCCGATCTTAAATTTACTTCATGCTTTATCTAGGTGACTGCAAGACAGGAGTTTTCAGGTGTACGGGTGATAATCTGAATATAGTGGTGGCAAACAAGGAGCAATACTATCAGTTCTGCAGATAACTGCCATCATCTGAATCCAATGCGGTGCACTTACCAACACGATAATTGCGATCAACCCCTCACGTGTCGAAGGAAATGGCTCACTGATTCCAGCATATATTTCTGTAGGATTATGAAATTCAATTTCTATGAAAATTTTTATTACAAATTTTAAACCATATAAACGCAACAACAACATCATCGCACAAAATACTCTCAGAACAATCAACCAGATCCATTACTTTCAGAACTATCAATACCAGTATTGAGTGCCAACACTTGTGACATGGAACGCGTAATAATATTTGGCATTAGATGCGAAGGAATGATAAAGTTTATTAATAGAATTCTAAAAAATATATCTTAAAAGCTAAGACTAGTCTTTTCAAACAAAATAGATAGAGCATTTTCTTAAATTCATTGAGATTCGTTAGTTACGCCTCTTCTACCAAAACGCTGATGAACCGACAAAATTCCCATCCAGTCCAAAAGTTGAAGGCATACTAAGGCACGTGTGAACTTCAAATTTTCACAGAATTGAAGGCAACAGGTTATTTCACTCATCAATGACGTAGTTCGTAAACGCACGAGCGCAGTCTGGCGTGACCTCAATGATCTTGACGGACGCTAGTTTGTGTTTCCTGAGTTCAGACAACTTTGACTGAAACACTTGGTAGCCACCACAGCTGTAGTGAACCAGTAGCTGGGAGCAGTCAGTCGACCATACCAGGCTGTAGAATAAACGTGAAAAATAGGATTGGCGGTCTAGGCAACGAGAAAATAATTCATTCAACAGTGCGTGAATGATTAATGTAGTCGGGTGTCAGGTAAGACACGAGGAAATAATTCTATATACTCAACCAAAGGCCCTTCCAAGAGCAAGTTTTTATTTTCAAACTCCACATATGACAAACATATGTCATACATCCATATATAAAAGAAAGCGCACCATATCTGCTAGTATACGCAAGTGTCCACGTAATTTGGATTAGAAAAATTACCTTCTAACCAGACTGTTCGTTCTAGCAGTGACGGTGACGAGACTTGTCAGGTCCCAGGAACTGTACAAGCTGAAGGAAAAGAGGGGGAAGTTAGAGTACGAGGGTGCATACACTTACACACATGTTGTTAGAAATCGAAAAGTTTTTTCCTCACAAACTTCAAGGTGGCTTAACTATTATTGAATTGGTCATGTCAACTCTATATTAGACTTTACCTACATTTTCTAATAGGAAAAGACCGCTCTATCATGGATGTGAAACTCTGATCTAGGGGTACATGTCTCTCTGACGGACACAGATGTCCAGAAACGCATTTATATAAATTCAACTAACAGGCGATTCCACTGCAACTTAATAACTTCGCACCAATATTCGGGATAACCATATTTATTGGTAGGCAAAGATAATCGTTTAGATATACAGTTATGTGATTATGATTTGTATTCAGATATTCATTTATGGCACCATTATGTGCAGGTTAATTGTCGCCTTGAAAGCGACTGAACTGTTCTTACAATGGACGTTTCTATTTACAAGCCAAGATCTGATACGGTATCTAATATACGGAAGAAATATTACAAGGGTGTCCATCACTGTCTTGATTACCTAGTCAGAAATTGTGAAACCAAAGCAGCCGATAAATAAATCTGCATGCTATTCGGAACTGGAGGCTTAACACGTTAAGTGCGACAACGACCCACAGCGCTGGCAGCTGGCCTAAAAACGGCGAAGTGCGCTGCTTAACAGGCCTATAAATCAAAGTATACTAGTAAATTTGTAGGTTCAGGTGCAAAAATTAAATTTTCCATTTTTCGTACATTTTATATTTAAATGAGGCAGTACTGCCATCATACATTTCTGTCGACAAACGCAATTGAAAAAAACTAAATTGCGGAATTTATCCGGAAAAAAGACCCTGCCACCCACCCGTGGGTCGTCCCGCGCTTAACGTACTAATATGGTTATCCGGCGTATCCAGACAAAGGATTAGATACAGACACTTCAAGTTATTGAGCTCAGTACGAAATTTATACTTGGCACGCAATTCATCAAAGCAACACTTTAAGCTACATCGTATGGGTCCTCTGCTAACGGCATCATGAAGACTTACATGACATTGCAGGTTGGGTCCGTGGTGACGGCGGCGATGACGTTGACAGAGCGGCCCTCCACGAGGCAGGAATAAGCCAACTTCATCACCGGCGCGGGGCAAACAACGTCTGCCGCCGCACCGCCGTTCATGCTGAACAAGCGCAGCTTGCAGCTCACATCTGTGGCCGAGCCAATTAATCATATTATATCCTTGACCGGTGAGCATAATCTAATCGAGACAGCTTTATTTGTGGAACGTTGAGTTTCTGGCATCATGTTTCCTCAAGTCGTTCTCAATCAGGGGCAATTCAGTTTTCTAGCATCAAATTTGATCACAGCAGTAACAATGCAGCACCAGCCAACCCCTAACTAGACTGCGAGGGCATTTCCAGATGGTACGCGAAGCCCTTTAAGAAATTCAATTTCTTCGCTCGTCATCTACTTTGCCACAGAATATCTATTGCCCAACAGAAGCATCAATCAACTATTCGCAACAGCTGCCACTCACAAAAAAATCTTTACACCAAACTCAATAATCGATTGTTTATTTGGTTTTACGGAGCGTACGACGATATAAATAGGAATTCTAGTAGTGCTCTATTACGAAGTTTAGGAGAGACCGGGTTCGAAGACGAAGTTTTTAAAATTCTTTGCCTACACAACGATAAGAGTTTTTACTTAGTCAGAATCTATTGTGTTCCTTCTGCCGCTACAAAATACTATTTTTTTCCTGATGCAATTGTTAAAGTTGACCATCCAGTGAATATTGTGCATTATAATAGGACAGCAATTCATGGCGAATACAAATGCATTCGCATCAGGTTTCTATTAATATAATTCCCTGTAATGTCTAACAATCCACGCACGAAAAACTTTTCTCGGAGCAGTTCGAGACTTCGGATTGACTACTTTGTTTACCTGAATGTGCAGGAGAGCCTTCGTTTCTGACTGCACGGCTGGCCACCACCCAATCGCCTGTAGTTTTGCTCACGGCCGAACATGCGACCGCCGTATTGAAGGCAGCAACCGTACGAAGCAGTCGCGGCCTGTCAAAGCAGTCGCGGCCGTTCAAATGTCAATATCTCCCAACGAGCTCAAGATTGGGACAGTTCGAATAGATTATATCTCAACCTAGTAGGTAAAATCATCATACGGAGGTACTGCGTAACATAACTGATATGGGTGAACTGGGAAGAAAATGACCATTTAACCCATTGATCAGAAAAAACAGATCTAGAATCAAAGTTATTCCAAGCAACGAGTTTTTAAATTTTATTCAATTTGGTGCACAATTAAATGTTACTGAGAACCCACTGGCGCACGTCCCAGACAAAGCAGTTGCCGGAAGAGTCGCCAGTGACGGCGACGTTGTAGCGAGGACACAGCGTCAGGGTGAGGACGCTAGACTGGCCGCCGAGGAGCTCGTAACTAGAACTGCACAGCACGCTGTACACCAGCTCGTCTGCAACGTCTAGTCAGGAATAATCAGTACAGAGATACAACCTGCTGGTGGTAAGACCAGAATCTGGGCAGTGTCAACGCTGGCTTTTAGGAGCCTTTTAGCTTACTCTTGTTAGCACAATGTGCTATGGACAATTCATGGCAACAGATCAAGCGACGGAACCAATACAGATAACCTATCATAAGTAAACTTTTCAATATTGCGCACTGTTCAGTGGGTTAGCAAAGAATTCATTAATTCATTCAGCTTTCTAGACGATTCAAGCTGATTGATCAACAGCTAACAACTAATTGAAATGACGTAAAAATAAGAAAACGAGTAAAGGCATCACATGAACAGGCAAGTCCTTTTATGGCAAAACTTGCTCTAAAATTATTTGCGTGCACAATTATCACAGAGAAACTGTAAAATTACACAAATTTTTCGCAATACAGCTTTGATTCATGCTAAATCACGTTATACAGAAAATTCACGAGATGAATTTACTGGCATCAGATCTTGCCTAGCAAAGAAAGTCTACGCGAGTCGGGACCTCGCAATCATTTCAACGCGAGTATTGAACATAAACCGGCAAGATCTGTCCAGTTTAACACTCTGAACACAAATACAGCACCGGAAAATAATAATTGCCTGTCATATACGGTAATTAAGTATTACGCACCAACTCTCCGCAGAGGTTTCTTGGAGCTCTTTGGCGTTGTTAGCGGACGTCTCTCAGGAGCACTGAAGCTCAGGTTGAAGAGCAGAAGGAGACCGCAGCTTGTGCCCACCCAGACTTGGCCGTCCTCGTAAGCACAGCAAGTCATCTGAGCAAGTGAGACTAAGTAACTATCACTCCAAGAGGCCGTACTCTCAAAACTCGTTGAGTGCACGTAACGGTCAATTTCTTATCTGTGAATGTTGAATTTTGCTGGAAAAGAAGTTCGTAATTGGCTGACAGATTAATGAACTCTTCTATTGTGAAGAATACGGCGCCGTAAGTCGGTCGTTATAATTTGGTTTCAATGACGATAAAACCATTAATATTACTAATACCATAAATATGGAACAAAAAGTTTATGGCGAAAAAAACTACATTTTGATGAAATCCTGTTGAATCTGAGGTAGTATTTCTTTCATGTAAGCACAAGCTTGTATAGAATCGAAGTAAGAGGCGCTTGTGAGCGAGGCCATACCTTGGCGTAGGGTGGCAGGGAGAAGACAGGGTAGGCGCAGGCGTGACCTGGTGACCAGACTCTGGCTACGCCGTCAGATGCGCTGGCCTGCAGCACATGCGTTCCTCCACTCGCTGCTCAGCATTATTGTGATCAATGAACAGCGCCAAATATTCACACCGACATAAACACGCTTTTTGCCACATAATCCTCGCTCTGTATTGAACAAAACTAACAATTATAGTTAATAAATTTGAATATCAACATAAAAATCTTAACTCAAAACTGAAGCTTGGGCGAGTATACAGAGAAATGAAAGTGTCAATGACAGAGTTCGCCGTCATCAATGTGGAAGTGGTCAAAATTTTAATTGTGTGCAAATGTCAGCTGTGTTAATTTACACCCTGAGAGACCATAAAACTAAATTTAAATCTGCTACATCACCTCGGGCGTCTCTATGCAATTATGCTTAATTAATCAATGAATCACTCGAGGGACATCTTAGACTTCAAAATTCAACAGTCACGCGCTGCACTTCTTTTCAATGGCTCAACATACAAACACCACCCCAGACATCGGTACTGGTTTCAAAGAGAAAGTAATGAAAGCTTCATTCTTTTCCTCACGACGCAGCGAATTTATTTCACGATCGAACAGCCTTGATATGTGATGTAAAACCTCCAAACAACTAGTGAAATTTGCCATCAAGATCTTAAAAACTTTCACTCACGATCAATCATAACAAGGGCGCCCTTGGGAGCTGCGTAGAAGACGTCGCTGAAGTCGCCAGTGTTCAAGGGCGCCGTGTGCTCGTCCAGAGTCTCGCTGTCATGGTCAGGGCTCGCCAGGTAGAGGTGATCAATGTCGTTGAAGAACGCAAAGCTCTCCAGCTTGAGACCCTTCACAGGGCACTCGATGAGCCTCGTGTTGTGCGACAACTGGAGATCGATATCAGAGCGTTACACAAGGTTCAAGCCTTATATAAAATATGTTCTTTGAGCACGAGACTAATTATAATATAATTTTTTTTCAACAAACCATGGCTCATCGACGGCCACGGAAAACTGGCCAGCTAATTTATAAATCGAGGAATTATGAATCATTTAACCGAGGGTAATGCAATGCACGTTTAAATTTGGCACCTGCATGTAGAGTTGCTTGGCATGCGGGTCAGGCAAAATCTTGGGGTGTGGCGCCGTAGGGAAGAGCTGACGTGGCACCTCGCCGTACATTGAGATGGCTTCTTGCCAGGCTCGCTCGTTGCTGACACTTCCTTGGTTCTCCGGGTAGCCCTGGAGGATTTCGATTACCATTTTAGGGCATGATCAACTTGGCAAATGTACATTTGCAGCAATGTCGTTTCTCAGATAGTAACAACAAATTTCTGGCGTCTTTTGCTGATCCACATCTCATTTATAGGCATTCAGAAACATTTTGGGAGCATAAGCTACCGAGATTATAATCAGATACTTATTTTACTGCTATACCTATCTTTATCGTATTTCTACCATCTTGGGACCATAAGCCCCAGAGATAGTGAAGAAGAGGAAGTAATAATCTCAATATATAGAATACTGAGCACAAACGCTGCCTTTACATCCTTGGCAGTAAATAGAAGGGTGGCTTGGCAAGTGGGACGTAAACTTGCTCTAAAAATAAGCAAGGACAAGATAAAATATTACCCGTTATGGTTGGCAACTCTTCGATGGTACGAGTGCTTGCAATTCGGCAGATTCAGGAAGAGTATTAAATTCTTCCTGAATGCATTCTATTTCATGGAATGCATTCAATTGAAATTAAATGCATTTATATTTTAGTATAGAGTATCGTTTTTATATCAGCAACGTTTCAATCGCTTCAAGCTCTGATAATTTGTATCAAGGCGTTGGCGAAGAAATGTGCTCTAATATAAGAAAAAACTGATATCTGCATAACTGATTAAATCAGAAGTACACACCTGTGGGTGATACAAGTTTATGGCTTCTTTGGCCCTCAGGCCGGTTTGCTTGAATCCGAAGACCAAGTCTATCCACGACGGTAAGTTGGCTGTAACATGCGGCGACTCTAGAGCAGCTCTGTGGCACAGTACAAACCTGTGAAAAGATAAAACATGATAACTCGCAAAGGCTGTACTGCACTTAATATTTTTCACTCGAATACAAAAATTGTAAGGGGTAAAGTGCGAAGAGTTGCAGGTTGGAGTAAAGCGATTTCTCAAAGCTGGCGACATGACCGATCATATGAAGCTGCTAGCGACATACCCATGAATTATAAAGCATTTCACGGGTCAAGTAATGGATCGAAGTCGTTCGAGTATCTTGAGGTCTAACAGAAGGACAGAGTTTTGGCTATCAATATCTATCGCGGAATGAGGTTATTACTTAGGAGCAGTTGTCTTCGGTCCAATAGGCCGTGAGAAGTGAAAGTTTTACTAACTAAAATCAAGCGGGTGATTCCAGACAAGGAAATTTTACGATTGTTGTTCAAATTTATAAGGGAAAAGCGACCAAGTACAGCTTCATACCCGTCATCGACGAGTTTCAGAATAGATCATAAATAGGACATTCAGGACAAAAAATTGCAGGGTGCCAAGATTTCATCATGAATATCATTCAGGATAGGCCTCTCGCTAATAAGTTTGTTTAATCTCAATGTTTACATTACGAATAATGCTGAACACTGCGAAAACATTACAGCACTGGGGAAAATAAAATACAACTCACGTTCTACGGTCACCGCGACACCACTTCGGCAGGAGGACGTGGTCTACAACGCTGCCGTCACTGCGGGCTTTCAGGTCCAACCGCTCGCCGTTATAGAACATCTCCGGCAGGTAGTACATCTCTGGAATAGCCTCTTTGAAGTCCACTAAGGTATCTCTTGTAATTTTATTGTACGTTTGCTCCAGATCCTGGAAAGTTCTGGCGGGTTCATCGAACTTGCCGCCTTGGAAGTGTAGGAAGAAGAGCGTGAAGGGCGGTAACCTTACTAAGTAATTGGGCACGACTACGCAGTTGCTGTACAGGCTGCTGTAGTGATGCTGGAAGCCATCGACAGAGATCTCTGCGCTGTTTTCGTATCTCTGGCGGAACAATTCTTCTCTTTCTGGAGTCTGCACAGGCATTGGCTTGGATAGATCTCGGTATGAACTAACGTTCGATAGGTCCAGCGTGTCTGAGGTATAGTCGGCCAGGACGTAAGGAAAGATCGGGTACTGGTTCAAGTCGTTGTACGTGCGCCCAGCTAGGGAGTTGAGCGTCATCAAATAGTCGAAGTTGCTCATTTTTCGGCTTTGCCAAGCTTTCGTGGCATCCCCCAACGGATCTTTCAAGTGCAGCGGGAACTCAATCTTATTGATTTGGTGAAGTTCTTCCAGTATTTTTTCGCGGTCACGTTCAGTATTGCAGACGAAGAGCCAAGACTTACGGTCTGAGAGTTGAAGCTCGAATGCCACTTCCTTGAGATGATAGCGCATTCGCCGCACATCTGAAATATCCTCAGAAGGAATAAACAAAGAAGATTCCACTTTGACATCTAGTTTCTTCCCGTAGCTGCAAACTGTCTTAACGCCCTGGAAGTAGATGCCATCAGCAATGAATATAGTGCCCCGCCAATCTATGCCCGGCTTGATTATCCAGCCTTTGCAGGTCAATTTAATATTCAAGCCATTGTGGTGATCACACGAGAATAAGTTCATTCTGTCGCCATGCAACAGATCGGAGTCAGAGTCTTTGAGCACGGTGTAAAGAGGCTGATGTTGTTCAGGGACGTAGTCGGTTTCAGAGGATAACTTCAGCACGTCCTCGTTCCCCCTTCTTTCTTCCATCATGAATTTGGGGTGAACTTTCAGTAAAGTTCGTCCCAGCAATCCTCTTGTCCTGTTGTCATTCTCGTAGTCGAGTAGCTCCCACCAAGATGGCGTCGTACCTCCCCACGGGGACTGATCGCTGAAGGCATCATTGCTCAGCTGCAGCCATTGCTTGGTCATATCGCGGTAAATGTTCTCTGAATGAGAAATTTCATCCAGCACGCGTTTCTTCAGACCAGCGTGTATGACGAGGAATTTATTGTAAACGTCCGAAATTATTCTGGCGTGTGCCTCGTGGTCCCTGACTGCAGAAGAAATGCAGTCTTTGACATCCATGGACACCGCGAGGTCGGCGAGGTATAGACGGCGCTGTAGGTGTTCATTCAACAAGGCCTCGGGGTTGGCAGTGTTTGTCGCATCGCTGCGGTTGAGGGAACAGCGACCGATGGCTTCGTAAGCCGCCATGACTTTACCACAGTCACAAGCAGCCTGAGAGCCGACTTGCAGCGACTTGCTCTTTTGGACCAAGTTGAAGCCAAGAACGTCGAAGAGCTGCGAAGAAAAAGGTAATTAATTTATTTCAAGGGATAATGTAGTAGGCAAACATCTCAACTTCATGTATTGAAACTTTCTACGAGTTCCCATTTTTTATATCGTGGCATATTTGAAAGAATTAACGAGTCATTCCAGACTAGCATGAATAAGTCTGATCAGTCTGACTGCTGATCAGTGATCACTAAGGATCATCTAGAAGGCCAGACTCTAAAATCCCTAAAATTAAAGCTGGGCCTAGAGATTGAAATTTGATAGAAGCCTGGCAACAGCCATGATCCATTGGAACAAGCGTAACATAGAGGCCACGTTTGACCACCATAAACGATAGCTGCTTATCCTGTAATCAGATACCTGACAAGATCTGTCTCTTGTGTAAATCAAGACGGTACGCAGAGTTTTAACGTCTCTGGCAAGCCTCCTGAGCAGTTCAGTGAAGTGTGCGAGAGAGGCGGTTGGGCTAGAGAGAAGACACAGCAGCTCAGGCAGCGTTGACCTCATCTCCAGTTCGTACTCCCGCCCCAACACCTCGAATTGATGACTTTCCTGCACGGTATTCAGACCATCAATAAAATAAATTAGTACCATTATGACAAATATTCTGGTCTTGTCGACGAGAATAGAAAATACATCCCAGTCATCATTTTGGATGAGAAATCATAAGGTATTAAAGTTTTACAAAATAATGATGAGAATTATCGAAGGAATTCATGAAGATAATGAAGAATTGATTAACGGTTCTCGAGAGCAAAAGCAGCAAACTTTCAAAGCACGAACTACTGATAAAAATAATTCGGGGTGAAAGAATACTTCAGATCTGTAAAATTTCGTTAATGTCCGAATGAAATGGTAAATTAAGGTAGCTGGCGGTAACTCTGCTAAATGTTCATGTCGAATTCTCAGCATTATGTATTCAGTCACCAATCGGCAACTAATTTAAACGTTGCAGAAAATAGTTTCTACATCCGTCGGCAAACTAGATGGAAGTATGTACACCAAGCGCGTGCATACAAGATGGGAGATTCTGGCGCCTATAGCCGCCGGAGAATACTACATAAAAAACTGAAACGTCCAGCAACGAGACCGAGTTAACCAAGGCCAACACAATCCCGATAGCAGCTAGTTCATGACTTCTCATACTGCACTGCTACGAAGAAACGAACTAGAGATCCTGGGTCTTCTAAGTTCATTAGCCTGATTCTCCAATGCATTGCTGCAGTTCAGAACCAAGAACTATAGCTATCTTACCATAGTCCTGGTGCTGACAAAGCCCAGCCTGCCAGAGTGGGCAACCAAATCATCCCAGGAGACCAAGAGTTTGCACTGCAGGTCCAGCAAGAAAAGCGGCAGCGCGCTGCCGCTACCAGTGTCCGTACTTAACCAGTCTGTAACGGAACGACAACATTAGAAGTACGGCCGAAGAACTATAAATCCCTAGATAAATTCCTTAATAATCTAGTGTGACCGGATAGAACTTTTGATCGCGTTCCACGAGAAATATCCTGGCAAATTTATTGTGTGGACAATTTGTTAGTTCAACGATTCATTGATTTACGTACAAGAAGATCACGAGTAAAGTGACTATGGTTTTAGCTTGCCTAGTTTGAGAATGAAGTTTGATGCCATCTTGAGGATGCGAATGGTGCGCAATACGAAGCTAGTTTGATTAGGAAGGACCGAGTCAATGGTAGCCGCCAGCTGCTCCGACAATGGTATGATGAGAAGCTCATACTGACTGCTCAATGGGAATGCAATACATGTAAGCTTTAGTGACAATTAACGAATTTCACAACGAAAAAACAAATCAAAATCTCAGTCAAGACCAACTCTTAATCAGTGATCTAATAAATTAACAAATACATTTTTTTCACTTCTGTGAGCAGGTAAGTAAACGAATCTTCTAAATTGAGAAACAATTGTTGGGACTGAAATTGTAAAGGCTACAAAAAAATTACGTTTGCAAGTCGGCGAAGATAGACAGGCTGCGGTGCTCCGCTTCCTCAACGACAACCGTTCTCTCCCGTTTCCTGCCAAGCTTCAGACCACTGAGTGACTTGGCGATAACTTTGTTGCTGACTGACATCATTGCGCGCAGCAGGCACACCACTGCGTTGATGATGGTGCCTTCTAGCACGTTGATGGCAGCGCCCCGCATTCTGCCCGCACTGCTGGAGCAGAGCAGGAACAGCTTGGTTATGAGATCCAAGCCTTTGGCAGCCATATCATCTCCTAGCAGCAGTAGTGACCGACACAGATCGATGATCGGGTGGCTGACTAAGGTACTGCGGAAAGTAGCTTCCTTCGAAGTCGACTGTAGAGTGAGGATTAGAGACTCGCCGAGGTTCTCCATGGTGAGAAGCTTGCCTCTGTTGCACGTGCCAACCTCTATGAGAGTAGATAGGAAGACGAGGACCTTGTCTACCACTTCGAATTTCAGGCCATCTACTTTAGGAAGAACCGCCAGCAACGGTGCAGATGTTTCCAAAACGTGATCCTGAATTGCAGGACTTCTCAATTCGGTGCGAAGGTTCTCCGTTATAAGAGCGTAATCTGAAGCCTCGACGCCGTGGCCAGGCTTCGAAACGACCAAGTAGTAGCAGGACATGAGGAGCTCGTCGGAGGAACCTCGACACGCAAGTTGATGGTGGACTATCATAAGATGCTCCTTGAAGACGCTCATGTTACGGAGAGCGATAGATTTCCGGCATATTATGTTGCGGAATATCTGATGAATGAGAATGAACGGAAATAAGAATGGATAGATATTGACGTGCGCCTGTAATATAAAAATATATCCAACTCGGGAAAATAAATTTTGATAAACTTCCGAGATGGTATCTACAGAAATGTACAGAATGTAGTTTGTACCACAAGAAATGAGCCACACTTAAAACTTCCTTAATTAGAAACTAAGTCGGCTAGTTTGTAAAATGCCATTTAAAAAGAAACGGTCTACAAAACCTAGCTTTCTAGCCCCACCCACCATTCCTACATCACATAATAAAGCAAAACTTTCTGTCTGCCCTTTAATATAGCATTGATTGTGTGCGGTTCTCTGTGATGTTACCTTCATGACTGAAGTCCTCACGTCCACAGATCCATGGTTAGCAAGGAGCGCTAGATGACTCGGCTTGATGCACTCCGTGACTATGTCAGTCAGCTTCCTCGAGTCCAGAGACCTCAGGAAGCCATGCAGCGCATTTATCAGGCAAGCGTCGATGGCATCCAACTTCTTGTTGGGTTGAGTAGCGGGAGGCCAGATAAGAGGAGTTGAACGACCTGAATTTATCAAACTTTGTGGCGAGCCTGAGAATTGGGTGAATCCTGAACCCTTGCCAGACGACGGAAGGGGTTCTGTTGGGCCGCATGTTGGTTCGGTAGTACCAGCTGCACCTTCAAAGGAGAGTCTTTTTGTATCCGCGTTGGAGCCAAGTTCGGTTGCTGATATAACTGGGTCGTTAGAATCGGTGACTACTTTCTCGCCCGGATCGGAAAAAGGTGTTTCTACCTGCACTTTCAACTCTAGGACGTTTTCTTGAGGTGGTGAGGCAGGGATGCTATGCCCAGACGATGTATCAAATGAACTGCTCGAGATACTGATCCTGTCAGCATCCTCCTTCGTAAGGAGACCTTTGCCCTCCTGAGCCACCACTGAGACATCTAAAACTGGGAAGACACGCGTCAGTTCTTCTGTGACTTCCTCCGCTAACTCAGTCTGAGGGATGGAACAGCCCCATATTAATATATCGTGCTATTTAAATAGATATCAACTCCATCGTAAATTTGTGTGGAACTGCAACAGTAAGTTGCAGCTGTTAGCAACTTTACAAGGACAAGTTATTAAAAAGAATTTAACCTGGATCAACGGTCCCAGAAAAAAATGGGGCATACTCGATCCTCATACTCAAGTTTCATATAGCATCTAAATTACTCAAGCGATTCTTCATTAACGTAGTTCAGAAGGGAATACATCGAAACGTAAGTTAAACAAAAGGTTGCGCTATCTTAATTGTTTCAAGATCAGCAATTGTGACAAGTAGTGCAAGGAATTTTCCACAAGCTCACCTCTATTATTTCTCTGATCAACTTCTGGGTCTTAGAGGGCTCTGCAAAACAAAGTGGGTAAATATAATATAATGATCAAGTCTCGAAAAATAAATTGCAACAAAACAGTTGACAATCTTGACTCAAGTCTAGATAATCAGATCGATTAGCTCAACTTCACATTTCAGAGAGCAGTTGGCCAAGTTGGCATAAATGGCCAATATAAAGGTCAAGACGTCTTCAAGCGAGGTTCAAGGGAATGAAATAGTCCGCCTGCTGACAAAATTCGACTGTCTAACTCTTGGAAAGTACCACCATGTTCGTCGCCGAATAATGGAAACACGACCAACTGTAAAAATATTTTCTTACTCATGGTAGCCATGTGTCAACTACCGTCATTAAATCAATGATATTGAATTACATACATTCAAGTTTTCCCGTTGCGTAATTGCTTGTTCGGTTTTTATACAGCCTAGCTACCGTATTTTACGGAATTCAGCTGCATTATGCACTTCCACTATTAAAAATAAATCTTGCCAGCCGTAAAATTGCACATATTAGCAAATTTCCATGAATATTACCCTGTCCACAAAATAACCTTAGAATTCCAGTTACTATACCAGTTCACAGCGACTAGACATTATTGCTAATCAGGTGCAGATATGCTCCTCACCAGCAAGCTTCGAGGACGAAGAATAAATCTGTAGGAGTCGGGCTGTGCAGCTGGCGGAGTGCCAGACGAGCGCTCTGCACGGCTCTACCCTCAGCACCAGGTAGTTAACAATTTCTCGAACTGTGCTCTGGAATTCGAAATTGTTTACCAGCTGATTTCACCATAGCTTTAGTTGCAAGTTTTATCATGAGCACATTTTCATAGATTGACTGTGTCGGGTACTTATAGTAGAGAGCATCGATGCAAGCTGTAACAGTGACATAATTCGAGACCCCCAACCAAATTCTGCGTTTTCTTCCCATCTTCCGACATGTCACTGCCATAGTTACTCGCGATCATTAGGGATTTAATATTCGAGGACAGCCGAATAAGACAGCAATTTCCACTTCAAACTGAATCAAAAAAGTAAAGACGTCATTCGTGGGTGCTACAAAACCAGTCATTCGAAAAAAAAAATATCTTTTTTTTTGGAGCTGGTTCGTTACGCGACTAAATTCCAAGGATAATCACGAGTTACGACTAACTGTCCTCTTGGCTGATAACTCAGTGTCTAGAATATAAGTGCTTGCCAAGCCATGAAAACTACAACTCACCACACGCCAGCTGGGCAGCGGCGAGTCGGAGTCGCGAGGCGGCACGAAGCATTGGACGGTGGCCTGCAGTACGCGCGGCGACACCTGCATCTCTGGCCAGTCGAGCACCAGTAGAACCTGCAGCATGAAAAATTATGTCAAAAGCCTGGCGAGTAAAAGTGTGTATCGCACACGTCTCGACGTGAAACACTATCTGGTCAGCTGGCAACAAGTTTTCCCAGACACTGGCTAGCTTTTCATGCATTTGTTCAAGATTATTCAAATGAAATTGGTTTCGTAACTTACGTTTTCAAATTAAAATTATACTGCTGGGCTATCTACAAGATGTTACCTAGACTAGTTTGTGGCAAGTATTATCCTGGCATTTCGTAATTGACGGTCGCTTGTCAGCAAGTACTTCCAATTGAGATTTCACGTTCTGTTATGGAGTAGTAGCAGCACGAGAACCAAGATTTCCGCTATATTGCACTGGAGAATTCAACCAGACTGAAAATCAAAATCGCTTACAATTTTGCTGCCAATATTAGCGAACCTGGGTCATGGTGAGGATGAGGTGTAGGGCGTCGACGCGGTGAAGCTGCCAGACGTTGAAGGCGCTGAAGGCGTTCACAGGAGCCTGCGAGATGAAGCTCACCAGGCGGTGCAGGACGTCCAGGCTGTGACAGCTGCCGTAGCATCCGTCCAACGCCAGCCTGCGGTAGGGTCACAAATTAGGGTAGAGTTACAAAGTCTGTTACAAATTTCCAACAAGAAATGCCATCCGTGAAGCGAACACGAACCTATAACGGTTTTAGGTCCTAAGACTAATCTTCGTTTTGGATAAAATCAGAATGCATGTTATAATGAAGGAGCAACGTACTTGTTGGGAAGTCTGTTTTTGGGCGATGGCGAAGCGGTCTCTCGCAGCTCGAGCTTGCGGAGCTCGACGTAGTGCCAGTGCGTGAGTAGCTGCGCGAAGAGGGGAGCGTCGGTGAGCAGCGCGCGAGGGCTGGGCTGATTAAGGAGACCAACCACATGGCCCAGCAGGTCGTGGCTCCGGTCCAAGCAGATGATGGGCTCAGAAATGCATTCTTCCAACACGGCCTGGAGATAACAGTTACTCGTTAGGAAAATTAGTTACGAGCTATTATTAACTGAAGCTGTTCACGCAGTAAATCCGATCACGACTGCAGTAACTTAGCAAGTTCTTAGGGACCCAACAGTGAAACTCATCAGTAGAATTCGATACTTAGCATGTTCCAACATACTAGTTACAAAATGTTAATGCATGAATAGCTAATTACCTTGAGAACTTCAAGCCTGGTGTCCATGTTAGGGCTGTAGAGGAGCCGCATGACCAGTTCAGTGCCGTTCATGGCATGGAACTGTCGGCAGATCTGAGGGCTTTCCTTGACGGCCCACAACAGCAGTTTCAGGGCCTTGGCCTGACACCAATTCTGGCTCTTGGTAGCACCGCAGTTGGTGTTACTTGGAGAACTGCTATCAAGCATCTGTGTATGTAGAACACTTATTTCAGCCCATTGCAAGAGTTCCGAAAAGTCCGGGGAGCTGCCGCGTTCGCCATAACGAGCTGAAGATAAGTCTTCATTTATCAAGGATCGAGGGCCGTCAAAGCCCAGCGTATTCAGCTCCACTACCTGCGGCACAAAGGAAGCTTCTCAACTTTAGCATCAGAGTTCTAATCATCAGCAAGCGCTGGACAATGAAAATTTTTCGCTAGAAGCAACGCCATATTTCAGAGAGCCCCGCAGGTGTAACGCACCCTGACCAATACGTGAAGAAGCGTCGAGGCACCGCCGAGCTGCAGCAGCGCGTGGTGCAGAAGCTGCACTCGACGCGGCAAGACGGGGAAGTCGAACATCAAGCAGGGCCGACGTACGGCCGTGTTGTAAGCACACCGCGATTCTAGGCACAGGTGTTAATGATGTAATTTGGTTTTATCTCTCAAATTTATACATGATCATCAAACTTGAGACTATGGGTTCAAATGCGAGACTATTGTTATAGTGGAGAACGAACTCTTTCGTATGAATAGGACAGAACAGCGATCAAGGTATAGCCTTAACAGTAACGAGTCCGTATAATGGATGTGGCCATAATTATCAACTTGCATCCCAGAATGATCGTTCTCTATGCGGAATGAGATAACCCATATTTTTAGGAACAAAACTTAAACAATCTTCAGTTCTATCAATCCACGCTCTTGTTACTGGATCTACTAGGTAGTTAAGAAGAAAGTTCTTCAGTCAGAGCAGATACGCAACTTTATGCCTTACTTGACGTTACGGTCATGGCTGGATCAACACGCTAGTACTTCAGTACGGTACTGTCTTAAGTAAATAAAAGTCCATTCGACTTTAAATAGAATCGATTGCGCTCACCGATTGAGCTTGATTATCGGGGTTCGAGTAAACCAGAGCACCGTGAGAACCTTATAAAATTGTACAAGAGACTGATAACTGCATGTATGAGAATTTTATACTCCAACGTAAATGAGGCACGTGTAATAATTAGAACAGACTGTGCTAATTTAGACATAAATGGTTCAATCCAGTTCGCGATATTAATGAAAATTACCCTGAGTCGAAACGTTGCTTGGCGAGTAACTGAGGAAGTTTTCCGAGTCGCTGCTGTTGTAGTGGAACAGCAGTGAAGGCTGCACAGCGGATAGTTAGGATATAAGAGCAGATGGGAGTTTAGCAATTTATATACGTACGCGGTTTTGTGAAAAGGAGACAATTATATTAGTATATCAAATGTAGCAACTCATAGCTTCGAGAAAGTATGAAGAAAAAAACGAACCTCGTAATATCAGAGACATATAGCAACAGTCTGAGAGTGACAGTAGTGCATCTGAGTTTGACGAAGACTGGGTGCAACATAGAACGTCAATTGTATTCAGAATGAATACCTGCAAAGCCAAAGTTCTACGAAGAATAAAATTTACAAGTGGAGTAATCAGTTCCTGTAGTATTTGATCAAGTCAAATTTTTAGAACCATTTTTGTAAATTAAGGTACGAAGCAACCTACGGAAATTATTATCTGGACCAAGTGAATGGGTTGTGTTGTAATCAATTCCCTCACGCGTCTCGAACTTACAATGAGCGAATTGAAAGCGTTCAGAACAAATCTGCCGAACATTTCAGCCAGAGTCTTGTCAGGGGTCGGAGGATAACTTTGCTGTAGCGACTCAACAAATTTAGGAGTTATGTAGCGCTTGATGAGGCTGCAGGTTTCTTCTTGTTCCAGAGGTAAGAAATTGGTAGCTTCCTTGCCATGCGCCATAAGGAGCAGAATCGTCATTTTGTCGAGTCGAGGACATGCGAATAGAGTGAAGCTCGTGAGAGCGTAGCTGTCGATGCATGGGGGCACTGGAGGAGCGTCTGACGCTGACGATAACTAAAAAATTTCATAAATAATCAGCAAGAATACGTAAAATTGTTTAATGGAATAAATATAATTCATTGCCAGTTTCTCATCTAACCAAATTTAGGTTATGTTGGAGACGTAGGACGTTAAAATGTCAAATATATATCAAGGTTGGCAAAAACAAAACAATAATCCCTCTCGTGTGGAACAATCAGTTCATGCAGTGTTCTTAACTCAATAATATTGCAGCAACTAAATTTAGCACCCACAGGAAAGTCTAGAAAAATTAGGAAAAAATTTTCAGTTCATGTAACCACGTAACATTGACTTACGTGGTCTCTGTGACCCAAGAGAACAAAGGGAGAATCAGGCTTCATGGAGCCTAGAGGCTTCAACTTAAAATCGGTCTTTTTCAGCTCTCCATCGATGCTGTACTCCAGCTGAGGTTCAAAGAAGAATAATTATGTACAAGCTTCTGAGAAGGTTGGAATAAAGTTCGGTTCAGCACAAAAAATACAATTGTTGGATACACTAACACAGTAATGACGATAGTGGGCAACAAGAATCGTAAGGAAACATTGAATTAGACATGACAGTAACTAACTGGACCTTTCTGCTAAATGACTAAGATTTTTTATTCAAGGACAACATTTGCTTACAAAATTAACCAAGACTACATAAAAAAGTAGCGTCTTGAGTAAGCACCATCGGTGAGATAGACAAAATTCTCAACATTCAAAGGAAGAATAATGACAAGCGGGAGTTACCACAACGCTGGCGGGTTTTTTCGTGTTGTGTCCAGGCCAGGAGAAGGTGACGAAGTGCCACGCACCGTCCAGCAGCTCACTCCAGTCAAGCATGCAATCCAGGATTGGGGCGCAAGGCTCGTCTGGACTAGAGTTCGAGACCAGCTCAATCGAGCAAAATCCTGTCAAGGAAATTAAAGCATTTGTTAAAAACCAGCGGATGTTAAAAGTACCAACTTTGAACGTTCAGTTAATGCGGGATTATTCTTCATTGTTGCGGTATATTTACGAAAAATTTTTTACGAGCTTAGTTTTGGAAGGCTACCTAAAAATAATGCGAAACTCAAATGCTTCTTCATACAACCGAGAAAGGATTTACCCGTCATGGCATTAATGAAGGCAGAGACGGTAAACTTCTTCACCCCAAAACTGAAAAGATGAATATTCACAGCCTTCTCTTCATCAGTATCTGCAGGAAGACAAATTTCTGTTCAAAGAGCCGCCATAACCATCTTTAATTTGCCACGCACTTTGTTAGTATGTACAAGATGTACAAGAGCAAGAGGTATCATATAATCAAAGGTTAGGATGTTGTTCGTGTTTCACAACTTCGACGCAAGTTTGAAACGAATTACTAGGTCATTAGAACAGATGCTTCAACTTGCTTACATGTCATACGGTCAAGATCCAGAACTCCATCGGGCCTGCAACAACAAGGAACTTCATTAACAAATTATTATTTCAGATTCTTTCATTTTCATGTACATCTAAACTTGTCTGGCTAGCTACAGTAGCAAAGCATCAAGGTTTTGAAGCTTTGTAACTCCACGTACGGACAGAAACTCAACTCTTTTACCTAATATACGTACATTACTTGCTGGAGTGCAAGATAGCAGTTAATATTATTAAGCAGGTTAATACACATTACCTACAAGATAAAGTTCGAGTAGTACCGTCATTTGTTAGCACCGTACCTTTTGGCAGGGTTCAATTTGATCCAGAAGATGGCAGTGGTGCTATCTTTAAGGGGAAGCCAGTCTGTGCAGTTGCTGCTCATCACGCACGCTATGCGACTTCTCACCAGGCCAGAATAAACGCATCCTGTCGCAACAATGATTATCAAGCACAGAAATGTATCAAATTCTAATAAGTGAAACTAAAGTTAAGCAATCTAACGTTACCTCATAATTCAAACATCTACAGCTATTGGGCATTACAAGACTCGTCAGAAAATCTACTGGTTATTTGTCATAGCCTAGACAATAATTCTCCATACCTCGCAACATTCAATTTATCATCATCGTACCTAGGTCCTATGACAATTCGGAAATGCCATATTCATCATCACTTTACTTCGATGTATCAAAAACGCTAAAAGGTTACACGAAAATAACTTTGTAATCAAGACAATTGCCATGTAGTTGATCGAAGTAGTTAAAATTCAAACATTTCAACCATCAAAAAGAAATTCATTAGACCAATTTCATTAGAATTTCAGTTCACTTATAATATCTACATTTCCTCCTCTGATATTTTCTCAACTAATTCTGGCTGAATAACCACGAGAAGGCGGGCTACTTACACAATCTCCACAAGAAAGCGGTTGTTGGCACGATAAATAGAATCTAACCTGATAATGCAAGATTCACTTTGATTATATTTAGGTCTAGGTTGTTGTCTCACCAGTATCTACGGAGTTGATGCGCAATTCCAACAGACTCTTCTCAACTTCATCGAGAGAAATTGCTTTGGAAAGCAGACCGTGAGGTGGTATTTGGTTAGCTGCCGGCGACTGTTCAACAGGCTTAGAGTTGCCGAGCATATCGAAAATGTTCCAGCCATGCAGCGGGCATTGCGGCTCCGACCGTGTATCATTCACAACACTAAAAATGAGCTCGTATTGCGGCACTTCCAAGGTCGTTTCGAGGAGCTTACTCAAAGCAACTAGTAGTTCATCCTGAAAAAAAGAGGGATTTTTTATTCTTAGACGGCGGTTGAGGATGTCACTGGGAGAAATAATTCTCAGGGAATAGCACTGTGTCGTATCCCCACAGTAGAGATGCGGGCATCGTTCAACGCACAGAATTAGGGAATGCGTACCAGCGATACGCAGTGAGATTGTATCAACACGTCAAAAATTAAAACTAGTCTAGCTGTAATATCTTGTCCTCTGTTTTCAATCCTTACAAACTAGGGACATCAACAATCGGGTTCATTCAGAGACATCTGCCTCTACACGAAATGTGGGTTATCCAGTATGACAGTATACCGTCATAACGGCAGTATGACAAGGTATACGCAACAGTTTATTCGTAGTGATAAGGTGGCATAATGCAGTACTCACGACAGGAGGATTGCGACCCATGAAGAGGCTAAGGAACTGCTTCAGCTCGCCGGCGGTGACGCGTGTCTGGGCCAGCCGCGTCCACAGCCGCAACGCATACGTCGCCGCTCCTACGCGCGAATTCGGATTAAAAATGGTTAAAAATAATCCTAATTACCAAGAACACTGTACAAATTCAAATTATTCTGCTCCATGGTTTGCTAAGATATAAATCCCTTGCGTTTTACAAATAATTAAACCAAGTCCTCAATGAATGAATACTCACCGATAAGAAAGTTGGGATGCCTAAACGGCGTAAGACTTTGGATCAAAACGATAGGATAATAAAACCTGGATAAATCTGAGATATATTTATTACCAGGGCGGCAGCCCGAGATGTTGAATAGGAAGCTGCAACATAGCGTACGACGGCGGTGGCGCAGCAGTCACCACCTGAAGACTGCCGGTGGAACCCGATATCAAGTGAGCCATATCAGGACTGGAAGACGCCTTGGTAGTTGCAGTGGAAGTCTCTTCGTTACTGACGCTAGGAATGATTGTAGATGCTATCGAGTTGTTGCCAGGAACCAATGAAATCGATGAAAAAGTGGTGTTCGCGTTTCCAAATCCATTGTGAGCGCCCGGAAGACTAAGCTGAGAGTAAGTTGTGCTGGCAAGGTTTGCTGCTGAAGAAGCTTTAGGAGTTACACCAGCGCCAGATGTGCTGGAGGGACCAAGTGTTGATGGGCCCAAGTTCTCTGTACCGGCATTCCCAGGAACGTGAGATGACGCAGCCTGTGAGGCTATAATTGAGGCTGACGCTTGCTGAAGAGCTAACACTAATTTGTCATGAGGAATGATGTAACTTTCCTGTGCAACTACCGAGTTCGTATTGGCCGAGGAAGCAGACGAGTCCACTGAAGAGCTGGCTGCCAATGCACTAGTTTCGGAGATCAAGTTAAATAGGGAAACCCAGTACAACTGGGTAATGAAAGCCAAGAATATCATGGCTAATAAAATTACAGGAGCCGGCAGAGGTACAGCGTTCAATACGGAACCAACAAATGCAGTGAGCTGTCGTGCAGTTCCTTCTCTCTTCCTGCGGTTAGGTGGTACTGAGCCGGGAAAATCTACAATTCTTTTCGTTGATAAAATATTTGAAAACGAAGGCTTATTAGCATGACGCGAAACCCGTTTGCGTTCAAATATCTTAGAATTTGGCGGTCTCATACTGCTGGTTAACGTATCCATCATTTCCAATGAAATGAATTTACTGTTAGACATTGCTTCCAGGTTTCTGATAGCACTACGGCTATCGTATTTCAAAGGTAGTGGCTGCGCGTCACCTACATTCTGCGATAACAGAAGCCGCGCGACAAGAGCGTCTTCGGTGAGCATAGAATCGTGGTCCTGGAGTAAGACGGGCGGCGGGTGACGAAGGCTCGCGCGCAATTCCACAACGCGGAACATCGCTGCCTCAGAGGCTTGACCGGCAACCATGGCACCGGTGAGGAGGCCATCAATGATCGGAGCAATTGCAATACAGTTTCAAATACTATTATAGTTACTGCTTTATAGTTTTCGCCTCAAGAATTATTTCTGTAATGAGAAGGTTTACAATGATGGGTGATAGAGGAAAACTAGCGAAATCAACATCTTAGTGCTGTACAGAACTTCTTATACAGGTACTTGCTAAGCATGCACGCTAAACTTTGTAAAATTTATTACTTGGTACGCAACATGCATAGCCAGCATGCAGTATCCCTTACATTCTGACGAGGAACGTACACATCGCGTATGTAGGTGGTCAGGGGCGAAATAGAGAGGTGTATTTAATATTGTTTTTCACTACTAGCATCTTGGTAGGAGTTTATGTAGTAAACACAAAAATGAACTGCAAATCCAACCATTACCGTAACGTCTTCCTAAATTAATCGCAGATGACGGCTTTGAAAAGTTACGTATTTCTCAAATTCCAGGTATGAAAATGTCGAGAAATGGGATCTATATACAGTGTTAAAATTCTGGGCATGCAAGACAATGTTTTCAATCTAATTCAGACCGCAGCTGCAAATCACGTTAATAATTAAATCCCAGAAAATCATCTTTCATGTACTTCAGGCTACGCATGGCATTCCAATTTCTTGCTATGTACTACACGAGCTTGTCACTATGCATGCAGCACATCGAGTGCATTGCAAGAATGATCAATGCGGACAAATTCGTTGTCTCTGTGTAATCCAATTTTGAAAAATGGACGAGTCTACAGTCCAGTGTTTCTTACTACCTAGGAAAAGCACCGGCGCTGGCCGAAGTGCACCATTGCACGTATGGAGAGAAATGAGCCTTGTCTAAATCTACGGTAAATTCATCGGCAAATCGTTCTGATCTATCTTGTTTCTCAAATATAATCCAGGTTTAAATTCAAAATCTACGACAATATACAACTCCTTGCATCCCATTACCGGAGAAATGTAAAGTTGTATAAAAATAAAAAAAAACAAGCACGATCCCGAACGTCTGTACGCAGGCATTAAAAAACAGGACTCTACGAAGCTAACACAAGTAACCCTACAACAATGCAAAGCAGAGCTCCAAGTAAACCCTTCGTGTCGACGGCCAGGAGACAACTGACAGATGGTAAGGTTGCTCTAGTTAAGCCAGTTAATGGACAATAGGCTGCACCAGAGCCTAGTTCTACACCAGCGGATGCTGAAATATCCTCATTTATTGTATAGACCATGCACACCAGAGAGAATTACGCATTAATGCCTCCCTTGCAACAATGCAAGCCTACCATTCAGATTAAATTGATCAATCTTCCCAAAACTTTTAATCTTGGCCTGTAATTTTGTACATGTACAAGCCGTGTAAACTTCGGATCAAGAAACTTCGACAACGCAACCGTACGAGTAGTTTAAAAAAAAAGCCGATGGTCCGTCAATCAAAAACCTTAACAATGGGCAAGAGATGCTTCTGTTCAACAAGTGTTTATTCATTGCTCAACAATACAACACTATTGTTAGCTGGTCCGATTTCAAGCATTCCCATTAGTGATAAATCAGCTGTAAAAACGCGACTGGCTGCTTCATATTTTCGAGATTGCTTCCTGAAACCGCAGGCACTAAACACGGCCAATTAGACATAGCGTAAATGATAAATTTGTAGCAATGGCAATATGTGGCGTTAACATCATGTCGTATATCAGAGGAAAGATGTCATAACGGTGGGTAGGGCAAAGCTGTTGCTGGTCTTACCATGCAGCAAAATACAGGGCTATTACGTTATATCCGCCATAATGCAGGGAAGAGGTTTTGAGAACTACACAAGCCGGCACTGGTTCAGTGTGCGTATCGTAGCAGCTCTCTTCATAGACAGTTTCTAATTAAATCACGACACAACGCAAGTTATTCAATTTGTAACGTTAAACTCTCGCTTCCCAGTTTTCGAGTGAAATGGTGTATCTCAGTATCACAGCAGCGCCAGTGATCAATGGGTTCAAGTACTGTAGTTTAAAAAAAGACAGCTTATATGCTGATTAATATCTTCATCGAACATTTTTGAACAGCCTTCGATCAATTTTCTAAGCAAAAACTCTACGCAAAATCAGGCACAACTGTCAAAGCTCCCATAAAGTTATAAATATCTCGTCTTTTCTAATCAAACCTTTTCAAAACCAAACGATTCAAAACTATGCATTTAAATGCTACAGCAATGACTACTAAAAGGCAAGAACAAAGCGATACGCGACATGCTTAGACGAAGAACACCAATTAGAGCTCATGAACGCAAGCACGTTAGAGCTCATTAACGAGGTTAATGATGCAGGCATAACTGCTTCACGAACGCTTCCCAGAATTTCGTCTGTCAACCTGTAACGAGCATCGTTTAGTTACGGACTGATGCCGAGCTTGATGCGTGTTCTCTCAAAGCCGCTATTTACAAGAAAATTCTTAATCGCTCAATATTTGAGATGCAACAAGTCCACATCTGGTACGCAACAGAAGTAACGTCCAAAACGTGCCGGATTTTCTGCTACATTGTAATGAGTAGACTGCCAATTTATAGTGTTAGCTGCCTGAAGAAAAATCTACAGGAAGCCAGTAAAACTGGCAATTAATGTATTAGTCAAAAATTATTAAAATCCTTTATAATTAACTCGTTCTATGCTCCAACATTAAAATCAGTTCAGGTAGCGTCGAACACCGGCAATATAAATTTGCGCAAAGCAGCATTTTCAGCGGAGTTAACAACGGGTGACAGCCGAACAGAATTAGAGACTGCAATAGCTTGCAAAGCTTTTTACGTCATCAACGACTAGCATAATTACAGAGCGGCCGCGTAAAAACAAGATTCAAAATCGAAGGAGTAGCCGGTAGTCATTAGGCGGCATGAGCTAATGAACTGGAGTCTAGACAGTTCACGCTAAATGAATAGAGTAATAATATTTCTATTCTTACGCTCCACATTGTGACCGCTCCTGTTGTGCAAGATCGATATGGTCCTTCCAAAAGAGTTACACGAAAATTCCATAACACGAAACCGTGTTACAATCTTTTAGCTAAGCCAAATATCCTGTTTAATCATATCATAATTAAAAAGCGAAATAAAACTAGCGAAAATTTATGAAACCGCAGTTCCACGATCTTGTCTGAAGAAATTATCGTACATTCAATTTCAAACTACGGCGTCGCTTTCAATGACTCAGTGTAACCGAGTCATTGAAAAAAACCTAATTTATGTGAGCAACATCGTTATTTCAACATCTGCGGCGAATAATTATTCAATAAACAATCATTTCCATTCCACGCTATTCCTACCAGTTTTAGAAAGTTTACGCTAAATCTGGACCCAGTTAAGATCATGGTCAATATACGGTGACCAGAAAAACTGCTTATACGCCTTCAACTTAATCCAGTGAAAATATACACACTACAGGCTATAGCCATAGCAATGATTACGAACTTTGTGCTGCCAAAATTCAGATTCATCAAAAGACAGGGAGGCACGCTATAACAACAGCTACACACAAAATAAAATATGCAAAAAAATTTAAAGAGTACGCCTGATGATTCAATCACTGCGTGGTTTTGTTCTCAGTGAAAGTGACATTTTGGCATCCATACAAGATTAGGAGAGCGCCTACTTAATCGTGCACTTGGCTCAAACGTGAGTTGAAGAAAAAAAAGCACCATTCTCGTAAAAAAATGTCATTGTCTACGATTTGCCAATATTGGTGGTGATTGTGACGACTCGCGCAATAGTAGATACTTAAGAACATGATAATTACACTAGGTTCAGGTCAAGAAAAAAACCTTAAGGTTAGAAAATAAATTGGTTAGAATACCTAAAAATACACCTAAATTACTTGGTTAATAATACACCTATAGAAAATTGGTTAAAATATCTGCGTTAAAGATCCACTAGGGCTTTTTCACAGCAATACTCACCTTGATAAGAAACAGAGTCCTTCATGATGCGCGAGAAGCCATCGAGGGTGACGCCCAGGCAGTTCGCACTTATCATAGCTTGTTCCACAGCTCCATTTTCCTCGCAGAGAAATAGGATTTTCTCCAGCACTCTTTCGAGACCACGGCCGTGAGGCGCTGGGAAGGCACGCGTTTTTCCTTTGCTCTCGGCTTTTTTAGTCGATGGTTGGGGTTCTACTATAGGAGTCGCACTTTGGGACCACCAGGAACCTAGGGCTTTGGCTAGTATGCCATCGTCAACAGTATCAGGGAGGACTTGGACATCGGGAGTTGCCACTTCAGGCTCGGCCGAGTCCTGTCGAGCTAGAAATGCTTTGTGGTGCTCGATGAGGCAGTGAAGCACCAGCGGTACTAGCTCTGGGAATAGTTGCTTCCGTTGCGTCTGCGGACTGCCCAGGAATAATCTATTACATTTGAATGCAGCCACGTCACACGTTTACTGTATCAGGTACTCATTCAAGTAGGCAATTTAGTTACCGATAACTAATCCTACTCGGCGGCAAATGAAGGTTCAAAGTAATCCTTCAGAGTAAAAAGATCTGAAAGTTCACCTGAATATATCCTTCCCCAAGTAATCTCAAATTCAAACGATGGCTTAATCTGCCGATACGAGATACATATTTTTAGTCCAATTATTTGCGTGACACGAATGGTTCAAATTCCAGCATAGAATGAATTTTTCTACAGCAAAATGATGGAAGGGGTACAATCAACGATTGCAACTGTTCAACTAAGGATCAAGAGCGAGTCTTTAACTGCATACATTTTATGGTATAGAACGTGTGCCTCGACACTGGCAGAATTTTGCATCCTGGATGCACTCTTATAGCCACTCTAGTTTTACCCAGAAAACTAAAACATTTTGCTGCTTTACCACCCTTTAAACGATCTATCACATACGGAATACGATCCAAAGTCAACGCTCATTACTGACCACTTTTTAAGACACTTCTGAGCTTATCAATGAACTGGCATGTAGGTGCAAGCGCTTCACGCTGTAGCTCAACTTACCCTCTATCATCAATGAGGGACATTGACTTTAGCAGGATGGGCACGGGGTCGAAGATCTCTGCGGCTGAACAAGGCGATGTCGTGTGTGCTACAGAAGACACGTCCGTGACCAAGTTACCGCCCGTCACGGTGTTGTGGTCCGCAGTTCTACCGCACACGGTCTCTACCACGCCACCCTGGAGAGTGAAGCGAGTAGCATCTTCAATACTTGAAGTAACGCTGACTTCAAAGCAATTTGTCGCTGTCTCTACATTGGCAAACTAGGCCGTTTCAAGATTTAATTGCTCGCTCCCCTCTGTTCGCTTCCAGTAATTATAGTTTTTAGCTTCTCTATATTGATAGCTCTTAATTAAATCAATCCGTTAACCAAGGGTGCAAGCCCACGTAAGGATGGTGCCATTTAATTTAACGCGGCCATCGGAAAGTACAGCAGGAATAAGGCCAGTTGGGGAAAAATAGTGCCGAGATGTAATAAGCCCGGAGGGCGCATATCGACCAAGATGTGTCCCCAGAAAGACACGTTAAGACGTTAAGATCGAAAAAGGCTTATGGAGATCTTACATAGGTGAAAAAGAGAAGGGAAGTATGACTTGTACAATACTTTCACAAATTCATATTTTCTTCCAGATCTGGAATAGACAAAAACCTAAAAGCGAGGATGGGATCCATTTACAATCCAGAGGAATTGACGTGTAATATATATATATATGTAATCTAGTACCATCACTAGTACTGGATCACATACATTACAGAATACTATACTAGAATATAAGGAATGTAGTACCAATTACTAGTAACAGTATCGTAAATTACTAGTAACTAGTAATTAGACAAAGCACAAACGAAGGGTTTCATTTATAAATTGACTAGCCTTGACTTCCAGGATGGTGGAGTAGTTGACGTCAATAAGGGCGGTGAAGACAGGCGCGAGCAGCGCCGTGTGCAGCGCCATCAGCTCAGGTCTTATCAGACACTCCCGCAGCCGTGAAAGCATCAAATTTCTCTCCTCTGCAGGAGGAAAGATCACGAGTTAACGACAGAATCAGTTCCCATCCTGGTTAAGGATGAAAATTTTCTTGGTAAAATTCCACGAGTCGCAGCCAACCTGGTTTCAAGCTCACTCGATTGTTTGGGCCAGAAACTAGGGGTCAGGATCTCGTTGTTGGTCAAGCTAGACGTCAGTTGCCATAAAAATTGAACATGAATAATGTTGAAAACTTATGTATGCGAATATCAAGCCACTTAGTAAGAGTGAGAATTGAGGTTTCAGCAAAACGGTAAGCTACGAAAGTTTTGTACGAAAATATTTCGCAAGGGAAATTTCTTCTAATCTTTCCGCTAGTGTAAGTTCAGATCTATTTCAAATGTCGATATCCTACTGATCGCTCACATAATCGTCCCTAAGCAAGGACTAGTCTGAGTCTGCGCCGTAATCGTCGGAATTTCTTCACTTACTACTGCCTGACACGAGTAACCGGAGCCATATTGTCACAAGCCTACTGCGTAAAATACGTTCCAGTGATCGCAAATGGCTTTCAATGACGGTTGCCGCCACGTACAACAACTTCAAGATATTGTCTGATGCGTACAAACGTCCTCTGGTTGCTACAGCTAATAGTTTACGTAGGTATAATTCAAGTTCAAAGTTATGTTCGCGGAGAGTGACATACAGCGGTAGAATGTAAATGCGTTCTCTGAAAATCATCTTTGACGATCACGATCCTGCAGTAATATCGATTACCCTAACTTACAAAGGATATGGCGTAGCATACGGCACTCTAGGAAATACAATTTTATGATACCCACCACTGCGTGGACGCAGTCCTACGGCAACGGACAGCCACGACTTGATGAGCGCGCAGGTGTCGTGAAGCCGAAGATTGAGCAACAAGGACCGCACCCAATGGTCTGTAGGAGAGGGAGCAGTGAGGTATAGACACTGATTATGGAAGTATAATTATCGCTTTGTCTTCAGTAGTTTTCAAAAGCAGCACCTTTTACAGCCCTGCTGCAACACATTTACGTTTCAATTGCTTCATTAGAGAAGCATACCCAATTAAGTAATTAAGTTGAAACTTTATATCGAAGAGCTTCAACAAGTGCGTCACAATGATAAGCCCTATGTACAAGACGAGGAACTTAATACGTTAGAATCATTACCTCGGCGACATTACCATTAATCATTACCTCGGCCCACAATTGAAGTGAAAAATAAAACGTTGTGTCGGCCAGCTGACAAAATGCAAGACGCACAAGAAGAAACGCTTTAACAATCTTTCAATAACGTGAACATTTGGGCATATCAGTGAGCACAAAATACGCGTTCAATCCGGATAACATTGAAGTTACTTGCACCGCAACGTAAGTAGCTGAGCTTAAACCTGGTTAACGATGAAATTACTTGCACCGCAACGAAAGTAGCTGAGCTTAAACCTGGTTAACGATAAAATTACTTGCACCGCAACGATGAAGTAACAGATTTTAAACGGTTAACAATGCTGCAACTTGCACCGCAACAATGAAGTAACAGATCTTACTGGGATCAGCCAAGACGCGCAGCACGGCGATGACGAGTTTCAAGGGCACCAAGGAGCCGTTCTCGTCGAGCAACATTCGCTGCTCTATGTAGTTATTGAAGAGCGGCACACCGTTGAGCTCGTCCAGCACGGACCAGGTGATGAGCATTGAGTCGAGCGCATCGTGCAGAGCCGCTTCGTCCTTGTGTAGCAATCAAGGGATTAATAGCGAGAGCAGGGCAGGTCGAGTAAATATGGCCAAAAAGATTACTTATTGATAATCTGAAATATGCTTAGCCATGAAAAATGGTATGATAAATTACTGCCATAACAAGAATATCAGAAACCAAATTTTTTCTAAGAAAAAAAAGTCACCTGCGAACTTCAAATAAAAACTTGCTAAGTAAACAGAAACGGGCCGGATATCACGTTTGTATCCTACATTCGAGGAAGGCTAACACAATAAGTCAAAATCAAAGATTATCTCAAAATTTACCTTGACGTCACTGTTCACGCATTTAAAGAAGGTCTGCTGAGCTTCTACCATTTTATCCTCCACGTTGAAGAAACTAGCAGGATGACGCTCAGACGCGTCGCCGCTGACGGGCATTCTCAGATCTGGTAGCTCGAAGCAGAGGACTATACATCCGAAGGCGTAGCAGGCCCTCGCAAGAAGCAAACTTTTCGTCCGACTGCTGCCGATGAAGAAGTGACTCCATGCCTGCCACTGGCTGTCTGTTAATGCGAGCCTAGCGCTCTTGTCTGTTAAAAGACAAGAGCTCACAGCGGTGAATGACGCGGTGAGAGCGCTTACGTTCTCAGGGAGGTTCAAGCTGTTCTGAGTGCAGAAGCTGGTTTTCAAAGTTCGCTCGATGAAGTCCCGATAGACGTGCTCAAAAAGGAAACTCCTTATATTTTGTGGACAGAACCAAACTAGATATAACAAATGGTTATGCAAACTCATGTTCAAGGAGGACCCAACGGCCGTTTTGTAATTCATCAGGCCAGCCCATTTGAGATCAACGTACGATAAGGAGTCCACACTGGCCAATTTTCTTACTATTTGATTACTAGCCTGAAATTTAACTAGTTTGGCGTCATCCTCTGTCTTCAACTGCAACAGCACAAAGCCTTCCATGTCCTGTTCGATGTAAACAGATTTCCGAATTTCTATTAGGTTGCACTGAAAACAATTTTCTTTCTTCAACAAAGAAATACCGTTGAGACTCTGCATCACTGTCAGCTTTATGAGGTCCAACGTTCTCTCTATTATCACAGTCTTCTTCTCACCTATGTTGGTCAAGAGTTTATCAAGTATTGTGTTGCTTGTCATGCAGCAGCACAAACCTGCTTCTGACAGCTCTTCAAGACAAGTCAAGGCACTCGCTTCTGAGTCGAAGCACGAGTACAGGCTCAATAGCATGCATGCGAAAGCGCTTACTTTACATATTCTAGGATGATAAATGTCCACGAACAATGGTGAGAGTTCATCCCCAACGTGATGATGACTCTTCTCTGAAGAATCTTCGTTGCCATTAGTGTCAATTGTCGCACGTATTCTCTTCACGTTGGTAATTATAGACCGCAACAACGGAGCGAGGGTTCCAGTGACTTCCTCCGAAACGTGTAGGAAGACCGAATCCATTAGGACCGGCAGTTTGGCCTCAAAGAACCACATTATGTATTGGCTCTGGTTGTTCGTTGACGAGAAATGGTTTAGCACAGAGAACGTACAGACGGCCAGCTTTTCGGTCAAGCCAATGTACGGTACTGTTTCAGATGCCGTCACTTCTGAATACATAGGCAGCAAGCACAACTTCCGTAAGAGATGTTCCATTTTGCGGAAGAATAGTTTACCAAAGTCACCTTGACGAAGTTCGTTTAGGTGAACGCATACCGGAAGGAAAAAGTACTTAGCGAGGGAGCAATAGAATTTATCGCAACCCTTCTTACATTCTTCGTATTTCGAAGAGTCTTTGCTGGAGAGCCTTTCAACCAGATCGCCCAGCGTCTTCGATATGATCTTTAGACCCTGATTGTCCGCCGTTGAGCTCCTGCGTTCAAGAGCAGTCATAACTGCCGTTTCCGTCAACGAAATGATCATTTTCATACACAGAGACTCGAGGTAAAAATGAAGATTTTGCGAGAGGCCGGCATCTTTCAATTTTGATTCATCAAGTAGTTTAAAGGAAGATTCGTTCTTTGCATAGTCTTGGTACGCTGAGATTGAATTCATGTCTCTCAGGGCACTGCAAGAGTGACATTGGCCCACGGATAACTTTCTGTGTCCGTCAGCTGTCAGAATAGATACAATATCCTTCAATTCGAGAGAAAAACGAGGACTCAAACAACTGTCTTTGCGATTCATTGAGGGAATGTCCAAGTCGTTAGTGGCGGCGATGAAACTTTGAATCTCCAAGTAAATGGAGAGCATCACGCTACTCACTTCCACAGACAACACCTGCGAAAGAGGTAAAAAAATATGAATTCAGTACTAGAAGTTCATTACCATCAATATTTAATTTAGTTCAACACTATCAAACCGATTGCCATGACTACAGTGAGGAGTATAAAATCGACTAACGGTTATATATCTAACTGATTTTTTGTCAAGAATACGCAAGAGGCAGGGAGCAGCTAGACAAGATCAAAAAATCATGAAAGCTTCAATCAAGCGAATTTCCAATCCTGGTGAACACTGGCGTTGGTTAAGAGTCTAAGGAGATTGAAAAATCTGTTCTAGACGCTGATAAGCCAGTCGTCAAGTCGAGAGGTGTGAACAAGAAATGTGAGCGTTAGGTCTGTAGAAAGACTTGTTCCAAGAGGGAAACAAGTTTTGAACACAGGCCGTACTTTGGAAAGTAAAGTACCGTACATCTAACAGCAGATTTCTTCATATTCACGCCATCTTTAAGCATCTTCACGCCACAAACGTTAAAACGGGCCACATGACTCGACAACGCTAATCAACCACACTTATTGCATGACCGATTCGTGGCTTATGCCAAGTCTAAACAGGTGATCATAAGGAATCTGCAGGGAGTTTCATAACCTAGAACTTCAACACAACATGGTTAACTCACTTGGTTCTCGAGCTTGTCGAGTGCAACGATGATCTCAGCACCGTACTGCTTGATGTAGTCGGTGACTGTGTTCGGGTATGCGCCGTCGTACACGGGTAAGAAGGATTGCAGGTATGACACCAGATCTGATGCCTCCGAAGTAGTCTCCATCTCACAAACGAGAACTCCAACTTCAGGTAACTGGATTTTCTTCGATATCATCTTGCCATCGTAGGCAATAAGCTCGCCAACTTTATTTTTCTTTGCGTCTTCGAACGACTTTTCGATGGATTTCAAGGAATTTTCAACTTTTGCGTGATAGTTCGAAGCACAACTCATGACAATTCGAGAGGAATAATCATCCATGTAGTATTCCTGCAGGTCCTCGCCTAAGGCTGCGTTCAAATAATCTTGGAAATGAGACGCCATGTTCTTCAAGAAATGAGCCTCGATTGCAGACTTTGGTTGAGCGCCAGCAGCGGGTTCAGTCTTGTTGAAGTGAATGACGTGGAGGAACAAGTCCATCATCAGGTCACGGCTCAGGTCGGCGGCACTGAAAGACAAAAGTGAAGGATTCATTAAAAAAAATTATGAAATTATTTAGTACGGGAATGCTATAGAAACCTACACCATTATAGCTTTGTATAGAACTTTCCTCGTCGCTTTTTAGACCGGTTCTTCAATTCAGGAATAATAAGATAGCAATCGACATCAAAGTATTAAAGAAGTACCTGACTCCGCTTCAGGATGAGGGTCGACTACAGAAACTATCCTACTGAAAATAATAGCTTCAGAGCGCACCAAGTAACTGAAAACTAAAAGAACAGCTGAGTCAGAAGACTTTCTCATGCCAAGTGAATAACTCGGCGGACTAATGCCAGACAAAGGCAGACGAGCTAAACGCAGCTGCAAGCTATCATGATAAATATTTAAATCGCGTAGGTATGCATCAGAATTTTCTTTTACCTCTTTCGTCGCTATTTCAATACGTTTTTACTTGCAGTTCAATGTAGTTCAGATACGGTCTACCTCAGGGTTCCACAGTACTTGCGCGTGCCCAAGGCTGTAAAAAGCCATGATCGACCAAACTTCATCTGTCAATAGAGATGGCAAAAATTTTCTGGATGATTTCCAAGTAACAAGAAAATGATAATTTATTTCTACTCTAATTGAAGTTAACGATAAGAATCCGAAACCGATTAAAAGTACGGAGCTCGAAAGCAAGGCGATGTATTCCTTTCCAATTTCACACAGCCAAGCATCAACTTGTTTAGTTGAGGCATTTAAGGCACTAAGATTATAGTGGCGACGTGGGGGTCTGAGTACCAGCCAGCTGCAAAAATTCTTTGGCAACAGAATTCGTGACAATTAAGAAGTAGCCTATATCTGCTAAGTCCACACGACTTCACTTAAGCACCTGTTGTAGGAGCAGATCTGACAACAATTCAACAAGTTTCAAGGTTTAAAGTTGTTGGCATCCGTACACCTTAAAAGAGGATGGTTGTGTAATATCTGTTACCTCACAACTTGCCGTTGGCAGCGATTCAGGCATGCTAGTCTCGCCCGCAATAGCGTCTGATGGTGCTACGACGTACTCTGTCTGCTGTCTAGCTTTCCGGAGACAAAGTTTGTCTATAAGCCTCCAACTGCCTAAAGACCGACTTCTCCTAGCCCCTCCAGACTCCCTCCCGAACGGCCCGTTGTTAGCAAGCTGCCTTAAGGCTTGGGGGTCGCTGTTGATTGCTCTGAGGTCGCACTAGTCTTTAAAAAGCAATGCCGGGCGGCCGGTCGGGCACGCATCCGTGGCTAGTTCTCCGTACAGAAAGTCCTAGGGGCGACCAAGCCACATGAGATGGCGTTGACACGGAAGAAGGTGCATGCTCCCGTGCCAGCTTTTTCCAAAACGGCCGTGTTTATGACCCTGTCTTCCCACGTGAAGTTGAGGAGGCGGTGGAGGCAAGGAAAGGTGGAAGCACTGTAGGCGGATCTTCCGTTCAGCGTACGTGGTTCAGATTTCACTGCCATACAGAAGGGTACTAAGGATGCACGTCTGGCACACTTCAATCTTAGCGTTATGCATTACTGTTGAGGTCCTCTTCGGTATGGGAAGAAAGCGCTGCAGCATCGACAAAAAGTAAAGTGCTGCAAGGCAGCGGAGGTTAGAAAATCGGAGACTTTCTTCCCAAAGATAGGCAATCATACCTGACCAACGTGTGTCATCTACTAAAAAAATCCACATGTACACTAAATAAATTACTGTACCCATTTCAAGATAAAATCCATTACTTGAACGAGTGCATGTCGTTAATTCCGATAATTTAGGCAAGACCGTATAATGTAAGCAAATGCGAACTTCAACTAGCCAAGTCCTGCTGTTACTACTCGTTATCAACAACTTGTTCAAAAACCCAATGCTCACTACTCTAGCCATTTATGCTGCATAACAAAACTTAATTAGGCCGCCAAGCGCCGTTGCGGAGCAATTTGGCTGCTGGTCGTGGCAGAACAAGCTGTAGGACATGCTTCAGTTTGTACCGTTTTCGTAGGACTGCCGAGTGTTGGTCAGCCCGTTGTGACTTTAGAGTGACGAGTGCGGACCAAGGTAGAATTTCCGGCTGCCACGAGCCCGACCGTTCGTAATTGCTAAATTTTAGAGTAAAACCTGAACAATCAACATTGTTCTGAGTATGTCGAGGAAGAATGGCGCAGCTCTTTCACGCCAAGTATGGCTTGTAGATGCTCTTTCATTATGCTGCCTTAAATTTGTCACCAGAACAGCAGAACTAATATTTATGCGGAAGGGTAAGAATCGACTTCTCGTCTAACTAGTCGGGAGAATAAGACCATGCGGCTATTTCTCATTGCCTGTAAAGTGTAAACTCTAAATTTTCAAATAAATTCCTTTGTGCCCACAAGTTTCCAACAATGAATGAAAAGACCTAAATTTGGGACCGACTACGTTACGAACAAAAATGTCCCCATAAAGATATATCAAATTCAAAGAAAATTTTTTCGTGCTTTCTCAAATAAGGATCTTGGCACTAATGCAGAAAGCATTTCTCACCATGCTTGTCCGAGAAGAGCAGCTAGCCGCCCCTGGGCAGGACGCGTGAGGCAGAGCAGCGACCGGACGTAGGTCTGGCAGGCGAGCGCATGTCGGGCCGCGTGCGACGAGTCTGGGTATGCCTGCACAGCGCAAGTTAAGGTGAACACCGAGAGAGAAGGACACGCTCTATGATAAAAGTAAACAAAAATATAAATCACTATGTATAATATCAGCAATATTGACATTTCAGCAAGGCAGTTGACAGATCTTGAATACGCTATCAATCCTAACGAATGGAGATGAGCATATATACACATTCATTGAATGTTAAGTCGAGCTAGTATTTGAAAGAACGAGTCAATATTGAAGCTTAAATCGATGCACAAGTATGGAGTGTAAAGAATCCAAGTTTAAAGATTATGGTAAATTCCAGTGCACGCCTGAGTCAGGATGTTCCAACTATCTCCTATGAATCAGCAAGGCAAGATTTACAAGCAGTATGGCTAAATTATTTTACAAGCATAAAAGGTAGATCTGAGTTCAATATCTAGCAATGTCCAATTGATATCGAGATTAACCATCATTGATACTGCACCTTTATCTTCCCTTTCCCCTTTACTCTAAAACTGTCATTGAAAATTTTTTACAAATAATCAGAACATATTCACAGATAAAATAACAAAACTTAAAAGAATCTATACAAGTTGGCGTTTACTGATTAGGAGCGGGAAGCATGCAAACTATTTCAAGCACATGAACCACGAGAAGGATTATGATGAATTGGTTTTCAAGCCTTCTAACATTCCTTGTTACGTTGACTACTATCGAGCCCAAATCAACTTCATTACCACTTGGCAAGGAGAGAATGGAACAAACTAAGCTCGTCTTCATGCAACCATCATCAAGAAAGACAGAAAACTTCTCACCAAGAAGGAAAGTCGGTCAGAGAGTAACTGTTCATATAATTCTTGCAGCTTCACGTGCGCTGGCTTCAGTTGTTGATACAGTTCCAGGCCACTGACAAACCGAGCCTGGAGGAGAAATTTAGACTTCAATTTACTGCATCTCGTATGACCTACGAATCCTAATCTACAGGTAATTTAGCCGAAGCTATATGCACGACTTTTTGAGGCTAACTTTTAAATGAAATTTATAACTGATCCACATCAGTACGGAGTAAGTAAGATTTCCAAGTACCAAGAGTGGGAACTGTGACCTCCACGTTGTCGCAATAATATTGGCGACTTAAATGCCTTGGGGAAACAAGTCAAGGCTTGTCTGTGCTAAAGTAAATAGTTTACCCGAGTGTTAATATGAAACTGTTTAAGTTCTTTCCACACGTTTATGAAATTAACATTTAGTTCAACAGAATTTAAATTTGAATGAGCTGTGGCAAATCAACTAGGCAGGTGCTTATTAGGTTTTTTGATACAGCCACATTCTCACCTCAGGCTGGTGGTCTGCAGCCTCCACTGCAGCCATCACAGCTGAATCACCACAGAAGAGATCAAACCTAGTGCATTTATAATCAATGGCAGAGATCTGTGAACAATAAGATTATTCATTCAATTGGGAAAGCATTTCAATGACAGCTATGCAAAATCAAAGATGTGCAACAATAATTCATCAAACTTACACTACATTACCTCTTAAATAGAGAAAAATTGATGAATTTCAAATTACTATGAGAGAGATACAACATAATTACATTTTGACCATTTCATTCCTCTTGCATGGCTTACAAAGTGCATCTACAGCTTGAAAATCTAAATCCAAAGCTGTTTATTGCCTCCAAGGCTTCAAATTCAAGTTGTGGCTGCAAAAATCCTGTCAAACTTTCAAATTAGATTTTTACTAAATTAGGGTGGAGAGTGCTGCACAGCTTCTCCTTGCTAAATATTAGAGAGTGCACATTTTCAAAATTAGTGAATAAATTGTGCACTGCCATTCAATGACATCTAGACATAGGCTAAAGTTACCTTTCTTTACCAAATTTGGCATAAAATTCTGCTAAGCTGCCAACTGCATTTTTAGTACCAGCCCCCTTGATCCAGCATCTACCTAGTATACTTATTATTTGAGGCATGATAAGGGCATTCAGGCTATTCCAGGAGCACAATGATTCCTTCTACACGAATGACCCTTTGGTCAACATATGGGCACAGTAAAGCCATTGAATTAACAATTCATTGAATTTAGAGACACGAGCAATAAGTATGAACATTGCCATCTTGCCCTTCCATGGTTATTTCTTACACTTGTGGATATTTGATTGTCAAGTGCAAAAAATGCAGGAACTGATGAACTAGTAATTCAGTCAAACTATTTGATCAGACTATAAAGTTTCTCACTAACTCTGCTGTATGTGTGAAATATCAATTGAAGGAATTCAATTGTGCATGTAATGGTACATTGCCAAATTTGGCCTAACCACTTGACGAGTTGACGTACAAATCAAGAAGCAAAAGTCAACCATAATTTGTTAAGCTGAGAGTTGAAATACGCAAATCAGGCACATTTCTACAGTACAGCAAGGGCCATTTATGTACTATATATTTATATACCTAAATATCCTCAAGAAATTGCTAGAACACCAAATTGATCGATGACAAAATGTGACCTGAACACAAGTTATTCTAGCAAGTCAATCTTTCCATACTCTGAGTCTGTTCTCAATTAATCCCATTAACTTTTTAATGCCCTATGTTAAAAACACTTATTTCATTGCAAAGCCATTAGCCAAGATCTTCATGTCTGATATTGTAAGCCTTCAACATGGAGATCAGTTTCTCTTAAAAAGCATTTAATATTCAAATTAATTGCAAGAGCTCAACTGTGCTGAAAGGGGGATAAAGCCACTCGCACATCTCAATGAGGACTGCTGCATGCATGTCGACAATAGCTGAATGCACATTGCCTATATGGATAACTATTAGGGATCTAGTACAGTGGACAAACTACAGAAGGTTGCTAGGTCTCAGGATTTAGGCAAGCCAGGAGATTGTACATCACCAGGCAAAATAGAAAAGCAATCAAACAAAACTAAGCTTCACTTCTCCAAAAATTATGATTAGTCACTAAAATATTCTTTTGCTTCTGGTAGGTTCTTACAATGGTGTATTACACGTTATTACATGTTAATTACCTTACATTACAATGGTTTTCTAAAATGGTTCAAAATTGCAAGCCAACAGGAAATTTCATTCAGATTAGAATCATGTGACAAGTTCACAACTTTGTAAAATCTGACATTTTAACATTTAAATATTCAAGAACACTTTTATTTAATATCCAACTTCTAGAATTTGAACCAGATATCACAAGACATGCTGGCTGCGTATAGTCTTAGTGGCAAATGAGAACATTTGTTTGCCCTCTGCTATGCCACTATGGCACGGACTTCCCAAATGGGTGGCTGCTTGTTAATAGCTTGTTATGGCCAAGATATAGAATTCACAGCTTTAAGAAATGGAATAACTGGCAAATCCATAAAACGACTGCTCAAAAAATTAGGTTGCAGCTAACAAAGCAGATTTACTTAGCAGCTTTAGTATTAAAGGGAATTAGAATTTAGAAATGAAGAGATTGTAAAAAAATCTTCGCTTAGTCACTAAATTATGTGCCAGCATGTGCCATATCTTTCTTCTGTGCTGCAACTCCAGCTTTCCTGCCATTCATGGCTGCAACTTCAGCTTTCCTGCCGTTTGTGGTACAGCCAGATCCAGATACCTGCTAGGGTTAACACCATATTCTGACACTAAGGATGTAGCAAGAAATAAATGGCGTTAAATACATCACCGTATGCGTAACTTGAGTTCGATTGGTTTACGTCACTAAAAAAAACACCACACTATGCACCAGCAGTGATTAAATGTCACATACTGTTGCCATATTTATTTAAAAGCCTTCAGAACTCTAATATACAAAATCGCCAAATTGCGACACCGACTAAATGCAGCATATTGCGAGACTAATTCTGACAGTGCTTCAAAAATAAGGATACAACACCCTGTGTCAGAATACGACATCCTGTGTCAGGCTGTATGTCATAATTCCAACACCTTGGGTCAGAATTAGTTTCTAACTTCCTATGTGTCTAAAACCATCTCTTCAATCAATCATCTATCAATTCATTTACCACTTGAAATAAGCTATAACAAGTATACATAAAAGATTCCTAATATTTTCACAGACTTTCAAAAATCAGAAACCCTAATATTTCTACACAAACAGTTCATCATTATTTAGTAAAGTAAGGTCAACTATTGACTTTCATACGCCTTTCGATGTCCTCAATAGTTACTTGGACTTTTGCTCTGCGGAAATCTTGCGCAAAATAGTATGACGTCACTGTTTCAACCATCTACGCACGTGTGGAGCTAATGCCAAGCTTAAGATAAAGGAAAAAGTTGAGGGGTGTCAGATTCAGAATTACCCACAGTGTCAGAATATGGTGCAAAGCCAAAGGTGCATTTACCCTAACCGCCAGATGAATCACCTCCCAACTAGTTGCTAATAAAACCTCGACTTATGTTCATTCATGGAAATCTAATGTATAAAATTGGTCAGTTGCAAGCTGCAAGATCTGATTTCCCAAGAAGGAAAATTGCAATCTAGGTTCCACAGCCTCACAGGGCACAGACTGACATCTCACACAATCACAAAGGACAAACCCAATTTACCCAAAGTATAGAATTTAGAATCATAAATTGATAAATGGAATGCATTGCACTGGTTACAGAGATAATCATAATGACATTAGTGATTAGATGTCAATGCATGTGTACCTATCCAAGTCAATTAAATCAACTTGATCATGATTCATGCTAGATTGACTCGCTTCTCTATCTCTATGCACTACGTCCATGAATAATATCGGCTATAAAGTTCACCATTCAGTTAGCTTACTAGAATTGAAATGCCCTACTCTACTGAACTGTAAACTATACATACTAACATACATAGTAAAGCCTGTAGAGTGTAAAGGTACTAAGAGAGACTCAAACAGCTGAAGAGGCAAGTGGCCATCTTATCTACATGAATTAAGATAGCTTCTTCTTAACCAACAACAATTTCTAGTTATAGTAGCTTATAATGAATTAGTAATTAAAATTCCTACGGCTCGGGCATCAGCGCATAACAAAACTAGCACTTCCCACAAGCCACAATAAATGACAAACGTACTCTAGTAACTCCACTAGTTCCATTAGAATAGAATAGAAGTGTCGGCGTTGAAGAAATATGCCCATGGCCTGTTGCCGGTTCTTGAACTATTCGTGACTTGATTCACAAGGGATCCGGCCTTTGGAACCCGATCTTTCCATAACTAACAATTGATTGAGATAGCTGCTGGACTTATTGCCTGCTCCCAGAGTGCTCCGTAATTTGCTAGGCATTTTAAGACTGATTCCATATTATTTTATTCCATTTTACTAACATCAGTAACATGTCAATCCCTGGATTGACGATCGATCTCTACATCAGATGCTAAATCTCGAGCCAATTTAAGTGAAATTATATTGAGGAGAGGCCACTCAAATGCTCAGACACTGACTAGATCCTTCACTTTCTTTCGTCGACACGACGCAACCTGCTCAGTGCTGTTGAGTGTTGACAACCACTGACTGCGAACCACTCAACTCATCTCAAACGCGTAATCGACTAACCCCGTTACCCGGTGGAATTGAAAAGCTCGTGTGAAGGTTCTGACTTCGAGATCAATTATGATAATATTTCTTCATATGTTTTTACTAATAGGTTCAGTAAGCAGGAAATTTTTCATTTAAATGAATATTATACACCATAATATGAGATTTTGTGTAGATGGGCCTATTTCTTCAACGCCGACACTTCTATTCTATTCTATAAAAAATTTGGGAAACTGGCTTTGCTCAGTAAAATATGTATTTCCAATAGTTTAACTCATGTTTCAATGAATATGGATTATGGTCAATCTTTTCCAGTAAATAGACAACTGTAGTAATTTCGTGCAATGTAAACTTCATTCCTCAATAAAACTGCTCATGTAACAGCAGATATTATTTCATTGATGTAGAACCTTGTTTCTGATCATTTCACAGACTAGTATTTGATAAGGATTATGAAACGTCTTTTTCAGTTACCATTACCATGCCTGCAAAGTTACTTAAAAGCTGAATCCACTAACAAAGACCACATTGGAATTGAAATACTATACATTCCCCGTTCTTTGATTTGGAGTATACCCACAGAAAGAAAAAAAATTGATTCACTCAATGATTTAGAATGTCTTTTTGAGCAGCTCACGAAATTTTCAGCGTTTTTCGGTTGCCGATGCTTGCTTATTCTCCAGCTGGGCTTGAGTATTTTCTTTGAAATCGATTAGGATTACAGTGTAAATGAGAACTTGGTTAATTGTTATAGAAATAAAACTCTGATAGGCGAGTCACAGTTTCAAAGATAACCCTTATTTCCAATAACCATGATAGTTATCGCTCAATTTGCTGTGTCTGTATCCAACAGAGGTATAACATGCTTAACTATTATCAATTGTGGGATCTTTAT